CGAGAACCAGGCTGTAAAGGCGATTGATGTTGCATAAAACTTGTGCTAATCACAGACCTTATTTTAGGCATCTAACCAGAAAACACATGAATAAATTGAAACGTGGATTTTGTGAAGAGGTGCACTGAGGTTAGCTCAATTCCCGCAGCACTCCATAGCAATGGGATGAAAATGAAGTCGAAAACTATCAACATTTTTTCGGCTCATAATATTTCCTCAAACTGCAGTTTTCAGTAATAAAATAAAAAAAATTGAAAAGGAAAAAACCTGCACGAGCGAAAGTCCACAAAACACTTTCTGCTCCGTGATGCGTGAAGTCGGAGAGGTTCCTTTGGCTGTTGTTCTTTTTCATTGCTCACATCTGTGCTTCAAACCACTTTTGGGCCGCAACCACCAGTTGAAAAACTCCTATTATGTTGAGCATTGTCCTGAATGCCGATCCTATCGTTCCCGCGCGGCGGCAGAGGCCCTATCTGATATTTACCACCGCTAGTCTGCTGGGGGTGACGAGGGGGCAAGGCCAAGTCCCCCGTGTCCAGCTGGAGAGCAGATTAAAGTGCTCTGAAAAGCCGCCCGCGATGAGAAAAATAATAATGTGGACATGGCCTTCCCTTTATGACAGTAACAACACATTCTCCAGAGACCAATCTTTTTTTATCAATCCCAAAGAGCGACAAACAGCGCACACCCAAAGCCAGGATTGTATGAGAGGATGTATGGTGTGTTTATGATGCTCGTGTGTCCGGGAGGCGATGATGACAAAAGCAGTCAAACAAACTTATAGTACTGCCTGGCGGTTTTCATCCAAACTGGTGCATCGCAGCTTGTTATTTCTTTCAAATAAATGATCCAGCAGTTCCTTCTTACAGAGCACTATACAGAAAATCCACCAAAAATAAAACCTGCATCTGATATGAATAGTTACTATGTAAAGCAGTACTTGAGCCAGACATAAATGAATACGTCAACAAGGAAGCCTTTGGTTTTAATATTTGTTTAACAGGAATTCAGGCAGAAGTTGGATCACCTCTGTGTAGCATTACAGCGTTACTTTAATAATAAATATCTTCATGCAAACAATGGGTGATATTTAAATCCGTGCTGTGAAAGCAATCCCCCTTATTGACGAACCCTCAGACTTCAGTATTTACTGTATATTCTCTACGAATGGAGGTTGTTTTATCAGTGATTCAAAGCAGTTTACAGGTCACGTGGTGTACTACTAGATATTTGGGGGACAAAACGTTGCACTTGTACAAAGCCTCTTGTGGTTGCAGGTGGAGCGGCACTGAATCTGATAAGAGTCCTCAGGTGATGCCGCTTGAATCTGTGTCCCGGCTGAAGACTTACACGTTTGAATGGAGGCTTGTGGAGTTAAAAAGGTGTGAGCTTACCGGAGCCCGCGGCTCCGCGTTAGCGCTATGCGACCCTTGAACCCAACCCAATCTCCAGCCCAACGGTCAGCAGTCCAGTTGCATCGTGGGTAATGTAAAAGAAAAACGATGATATCCGTAGTTCTGCTGAAGCGATTCTTCGGTTTGTGTCAGCAGCCCTTTAATGTTATGCCCAGTTGAGATTAGCTCATTTTACTAATTTGCTTTACTTTTTATTTACCTCAAATGTTGCTGGATGGTTTCATCTATAACAGTTTTTATCATATTCCCTTTGTGGATCGTATACGTTCTTTTTTTAAATGTTAACCTAACGCCTCATTTATTCTTGATGCCCAAATCCATAAGCAGCTATTTCACCGTCCAACCAGCGAGTCTGATGGAGTTTAATGGGCCCTTACAGCTGGGAAATAAATGTATAAAAGGAACAATGTTTCCCCTCGTAAATATCGTGGAGTTCATGTTTAAAATGGCAATATTCACAAACTTCTATATTGTAATGTTGTTTTTTCTTCCATAAATCAGAATGAGACACATTTATTGCCAAAGTATGTTGGACATACAAGGAATTTCACGTGGTACTTGATCATGTATGTGCAATGGGGGGTCACACCTGATGCTGTGAACTAATGTGTGCCATGTACATTTATTTGGAAAGCTAGCCAGTAATTCTTAGAACTCATCTAGGTCACATTGAGTCACAAAACTGCATATTGTCTTAAATACAGTGAAATATTTGCATCTGTGTCATTTATTATCGCCGAGATAAGCCCGAGCTACATTTTGTGTCATAATAATGCACGGCAGCCGCCTTGATCTTTACTCTTTATCTGTGATTTGTATCCTTTAAGTAACTGTGTGTGTGTGTGTGTGTGTGTGTGTGCTGCTGTGTGTAATGTCGTCAGATAAAGAGGCTGAAATCAGACTAGTAATCTGGTTTGATTCAGACGTTTCACGCTGCGTGGAGGGTTTGTGCTTTCAGACTAACGCGGCGGTTCAGAGATTACGCTGACCGCGCTTTGTGTCAAAATTAAACTTCTTGGGGAGATCAGCATTTGAGCCCACGTGCACTGCTGCCTCCGGAGGGGAGCGGAGGTCAACGCAGTGCAGCACAGCGTCGCATTCCTCTCACTCATTCTAACGGCGCCGCTACATTTGGGGGGTGAAGGAAATAAATGGACCTGGACGATGGAGAAGTAAGATTGTTTGATTTTGTGTGTTTCACGTTTTGAGATCCAACAAAAATACATTGATGAGATCAGAAATGGACATTTTATGATGTCAGGACCCACAAAGATACGAGTACCAAACTATAGACTACATAGGGACACTTTATTAAGTGTTTTTATGAAAGTGTGGAGCTAGTTTAGTTGGTTTCTAATGACAACTAACATATCATTTCTCAGAATTTAAGGCAGAATTCTCTTTCATGAATCCGTACATATAGAATACTTTCCGCTTTCTTCTGGAACTTAAATATTGGTAAAACTAAAGGAGCCATATGGGAGTACCGGCTGGGGATTAAGAGTGTAACCCCGCGACAGTTAGCATGTAATGCAGCGACGCCACGCCCTCCTCGCAGTTTAGTGTGAGTTTGTCAAAAAAATCAAAAAGGCGGGACGGGAGTCTGGAACGTTTTTTCTCGTGTGATGGAAATAGAAATGTATTAATCATTTAATATAAAATGGAACATTTGTATTAGAATACTTTCGGTCGGCAATGGTCACTGTATCACAGGAGAGATGAATGTTGTGTATCAAGCGTGTGCAGACTACTAAATATTTCAACAAATGCATGTTTGAGACAAAAGCTATAAATCTCTGTTAGATCTCTGCACAGTGGAACACAAAAGCACTCCATCCTTTTCTCGTGTCTCACACTATGCGGCGCGGCGCGGTGAATAGACGCCATACTGAGGCAGTAAAAAGGAGGTATAAATAGATGTTGTTATTTCTGAACCATCTAATGTGAAACAACATCATTTGCCCGACAATGCTTTCCCAGCTCCTTTTAAAACCAAACAGAGCGCCTTAATACCGCCTTTTGTTTGGCCTGTCTTTTCGCTCTATTGTTGCAAAGAATTGTAGCTCCAGATCCAAAGAAGAACTCACATGCTCCAGATTAAACTGGTCACCATAATCACGCTGCTGAATTTAATTGTAAGAGCCGGTGCTGGCACTGTTTCCCTCTCTCCTTCTCCTGTCCTCCTTGACAAAAATCTGACAGTGGCTTTGCATGGCAAACCTGTTTAATGAATGACTAATCCAGCGAGAGCGCATTATGGCAAACTGTCACACACACATTGTAGCAATATTAACTTGAATTTACATTATCATCCCGTGGTAATGCTAGAGCATTTGGATTTCCATTAATGCATGGCCTTTTCTGCGTGAAAAGCAGAAAACAGCAGTGAATTAATTCGGCCCCCCCCCCCCCCTCCACCCCACCTCTCTGCTTTGATTGGGTGTCGGTGCTAACGCCGTACATTGGGGCTTTCTTTATTGGGATGACAGCTCCGAGGCATCCTTACTCCTCGCAATCAAGGCCGCAAACAAAAGACCCCGCTCGCGTTACTCAAAAACCCTCTTCCCAAGCAGCGGCGCCAAACTCCCATTCCACCATTGTGCCGGTGCTGTAAATCAACAAGAACAATGAGGGGAGAGGCGCAATCACACAAGGCCCGGCACCGCCATCCGCATAAAAACATGAACCCAAAGAACAATGAGTCAGACACCACTTTGCCTCCTCTGGTTATTTATTGTGCGAATCTTCCAGCTCTCTATTCAACGTTTATGTTATCCGATTTCCGGCGGTTCAGACTTCAAAAATAAATCCAGAGGCGATACGTTTATTTTTCCGAGATGGGTACGTACGAGGTTCTCGACCCAAGAGTCTCAAGGTCCTTTCGTAACATGTTTTTAAATAATATGATATTCATTTTAACATTACACTTCCTGTTCCCATGATGTAGTTTGTCCTAAAACAGGTTTGTGAAAAGAGGGAGGAAGGAGAGGAAAGGAAGATGAGACAAGCTTCCACACGGGACGTCTGGATGGGACCCAGACTGCAATTCTGCAGTTGAACTTCAAACGGCTTCGAGTGTACTTCCAGCACAGTATTCCTTTAAAAAGTCATGTAAAATTACCTTTTAAGCTTCGTTAAAACACATTTTCTTGCACCACAACACACGATGTAGACTACGGCATCTGTGAGAATTTGGTTTAAGGGGAGAGCTCGCATGTATGGGCTGAGGACTTCGACTGTCTCCTGTGAAAGAGCTAAATGAAGACACTTCATTCTTTGTTTCTGAATGTATGAGAGATAGAAATGAGACTGAATATTACAATCATTAATTTTGTGCCAATTCAAATGCATTACCAAACGGGAATCTGAACGTCGCATGAAGTTGATGTTTCATCTTGTTGACAAACTAGTTTTTTTTGTCAATTTTGGGCCATCAAAAACCATTTTAGCCATGTATTTATGAATAGCACATGCAAATCAAGGAAAGAAAGACATGAACAAAGCTTTTAATAAAAACCTAAGAACGTAGAAAGGTGATGGAGTGCCACTAGGGAGAGACTTCTGGCTCAGAATTAGAGAAAGGAGTCTTTAAACATGTGTTTTTATTAAATTTGAGACATTTGGACGACATTAAAAACAAAACTGGTGGTTAAATGGTGGCACGATTGAACTTCCCTAGTTGATGACATGCATTAAAACAACCATTTTTTGTTTTGTATTAAATATGCAAATGAGGTATCATCTATTGAAACATTTCCGTGAACTCAGGAGAAATCAATGGACTGTCCGAATGGACAAAACAGTCAAATAATTTATTTGGCTTGAAACTATATTAATCCTGCAAACAGACACTCAAAGTATTTTGTATTTTGAGTTCAAAAACTGTGTGATTTGGGTGTCTAACAAATCAAATAGTGATTAGCGACATAACGCCTTTCATAAAATCCCTGGTTTCATGCATACGGAATGTTATCCCCATAAAACATTGTTTTGCACACTGCCATTCCTTCTTAGCACCACTGACTGATCACCACAGAGGTTCCATTCATCATGTCACTCTGTGTATGTCGGGTGTGTATATCACAAGGGCTCGCGCCCTATATGAATATTTGTCGCCATCAATCTGCACTACTTAGTTAATAATGCTCACAGTTAGTTTAGTGCACCGGCAGCTTTTCAGCAGTCACACATAATGAGGAAAGAGTAGGTGTGGAGAGGACATCCATAAGCCCCGAGACAAGCGCAGTGGTGCCGGGGAGACGGAAGAGCAAAGCAGCAACTTTTGAATATTACTGACCCAGCACTTGGGGGAAAAAGGCAATGCACAACAAGACGGAAAACGAATGCTTTTTGAGTCTGAAAATCCTTTCACCCTCTCACATTCAGCAGATCAGATTAAGAGAGAGGTTTAAGAAGATTTTGACACTCACAAAAAAAAAAGAAGAAGAAACTTCTGAGCCACGGGGAGTGGAGGGAGGGGGAGAGCAGTCGGGGAAGGTGGTAGGGAGCAGTTTGTAATTCATTGGCTTCAGGCAATTCATCACAGAAATTGAGTTTCTAATGCAGCATCTAGTGAATCCCTTTTGCCCTGTCGACGATTTAATACATTACATTGGGAATGTAAATCATGTTGGAAATTTGGCACAAACTACACAGCCCCCTGCTGCACTCCTCCCGCTCGCTGCGCCGCACGCGTACGCGCGCACGGGTCCAACATGTGCACCCACGCGCACACATGTGCAGCATCATGCAAATGCAAACGGCAGAGTCTGGAGGCAGAGCATCCCTCATGTCCTGTTGGTATTCACCGAGCCTCGACATTGGCTTAAATTTAAAAAAAACTTCAAGATGGGATTTTGCATAAAATCCCAAAGGAGGAATTATTGTTTTGATTAAACACAATCGCACAATTATATAAAAAATAAATGGCAGCGTGAGACAAGAAGCTGATACAGTAAAAAACACTAATATTGGCAAAGAGAATACTACTATGACACTACCTGTTTTTTTTAAGCACATTACCACCATGTTACAAGCAAATCTCCTTTCCCAGTACAGGCGTGATGGTCGTGTCCCCACTGAAGATGTCCAGAGCCGTTTCTAACGAGCAGCATTGTGATCGACATTGTTTTAAATAAAGCAGATTGAAACCCGGTCCTTTCCTGACTAATCTTTGCAGCTGTCTCAGGGTTAAAGGGTCAAACTCGTCTGGGTGCAGGTCAGATCGGTTCTATCGATATAAACTCTGGGTGTGAAGCTCTTTTTACACAGTGGACAAAACAAAAACAATATGCTATATGTTTTATCATCATACACCCAGAACAAATGACTCATTGGTGTTTAATAGAGTCTTTACTGATATCTGATACCAGCCCCATACTGACATAAATAGCTGCATCCTTTATTGGTGAAAGTGGAACTTCTATTCACTTCTGTTTCAAAGCCAGTTGCTGCATTTTAAAGGTTTACACTTGAGTTGTATTTCCTGTTCATTTTTTTTTTTTTACCAAATTGCTTCTCTTTCTTTGGGTGCAACACAAACTTTTCTTTTTGTTTGGTAATGCGTACAGCATCTGCTCCCTTTGTTGGGACTGAGCACTCTTTAAGCTGAAGTGGTGTCTAACCTTTCCTTTTCCCAACTGCAGCAAAACAACTTTCAATGTTTCTTCGAGTTGGCAGCTTTTCATGAGTAAAAAAAAAAAATCATGTTACCAATAATGTCAAAGAAAGAACACAGTGTCAGTTTTGAACAGAAAAGTCAAGATGCAGCCAAAACACTGCATTCACAGTAATAATCCGACCCCCCCGAAAGTTCATTGAATTCTTCTTGAGATGAACGACAGGAGGCACTTTGGGAAATGAGCGGATGTTCAACGAGTTTGCAAGATTACAAAAGTCAACCGTTTCCTGGTGTAGACAGCGTGGAGCTGCGAGCGGTGAAGAAGAGTCGACAGTTACATTTACACACGTTTAAATTCTCCTACTTTATTACAGAAATCAAAAACAATTCCCCGATAAATGTCTTAAAATATCCAACTGTTCCTGACTCACGATGGATCAACCTTCTTTTTAAATGAGCATAACTTAATTAGCAGTTTGCCCCACAGTATTACATTAATTATAAAATCAATTGTAGTTGATGATGCATTAAGAAATGAAGTAGCTTCATATTCAGGGTCTCTACATAGTTATAACATTATTGAGTGTTGAGTTGCAATACCATGGAATACTTTGTAAAACTGATAATGCAGCCAGACTGCATCAGGTCTCCAAATGATTCTTTTTTTAAACGGACATTGTTGTTCTCAAAGCCCTTCGGGAGTTCAAATTGTCACAGTCGGTGCAGTGTGACATCACTGCTGGGTGAGGTCACAGGTGCTCGTGAGCACACTTCCGACTTAATCCAGCCGCGCACATCTGTCTTGCAGAATGAGGTCAGAGGTATAAACATTAAAAAGAATTTCCTCGGCTGTCATACGCACTTTTTAGACTCTTTAAAGTCTTGGAGATTAGACTTAGCACGAGCCTCCGTGCTCTTACATTTTTGGCAGGCAGTCATGGTGCCCAGAGGATAAATCCTCAGGACTGTAGAGATCCTCTGACTTTTGATCTAGGGCTTACACGCTGGAATATAATGGACAACATGGGAAACATCAATTAGGCTACACAGGACCAACAACAACACGTGTCACTCGCTACCCGATCCCCGTTCAGCACCGTGAGTAAAGCACGCGGGCAAACTGCAACTACACGCCGCTCGTGCGCGCTCTTTGTTTCAGGCTACGTTGTGAACAACAAATCACTTGTCGTTGGGAAAGTTGAATACATAATTAGAATTAGTATAAATAAATGATATATATAATGAAGAAGATGCATTACTTGTTTGACTTTATTATTTGTGAGACAAACTAGTGCTGGATCGACCAACAATGTATCGGCCGCTGTGATGTGTGATGTGTATATTTATATTAGTGCTGTGCACACTAACAAGTTATTAGAATTCATTTACACCCACAATTATTAGAACAGTTTTGTTTTTTTTGTTATTATTCTAGAAGTCTGTTGCCCACTGGTTCTTAATACACATGCAGGCGCACCATTGGTCACAGTGAGGGTGCGATGAGTCCTTCAAGCGTGTCAACCAATGAGAGCATTGGGGCGGGTTTAAGACTGGGATTAAGCTCCCATGAACCGATTGGCGGGAAGGAAGTCCGTATGTACTGCTTCTTATAAACATTAATAAACATCAACTTTCTAAAATAAAATAACAGAGATTCATGAATGTTAGCTTGCTGTTGCTCAGAAGGTGCTTGTAATAATGTAACGTGTTTTGCTAAAACAAACTAGATCAAATGTGAATGCGTTGGCAGTGGCAATTAGCTTTGGTTTCATTATTTCATTTGATTAAATTATATTTTAATTTGAGATTTACAAAAGACATTCTGACTGCTGCTGCGTAAGGGGATACTGGAGTTGAAAGACACTTAAATTGTTTAGTGTTTGCATAAATAAAAAAGTGTGCAATACACTACTTTTGAATGAATCATTAAATAAATTAAAATAATTAAAAAACAAATCATGCGATTAACCATGATAAAAAATGTTGATTGCTGCCCAGCACATGTATATTAATATATAGTGTATATATATATATTTGTTTGTAAATACACACCTTGTGTTCCACGTGTATGGGAGTGGGAGTCTTGGGAGTCTTGACCACATTGTTGCTAGATGCCCACATATCGATAGAGATATATATACAAAGCTACACAAATTCACCCTTAGAGACGGGATGTAACTGGGCGTCCACTGGACGTTGCTCATCCCACTTTCTGTTGTTTGCAGCGGATACAATCCACTAGAGCAGCTGGGTTTTAAGGGAAACATGCTGGCACTGTAGGGCAACATTAAGGGAGCAGAAGAGCATTACACGTTCACACACTCCCCACATTTTTCCCGCTCTGGTGGTTCTGGTCCAAAGCCCGCTCCGCTAACCTTCAGGCTGCAACAGCCCCAATTAAACTTACCACAACTCCTCCAACAGTGGATTCCTTTGAGTCAGGCATTCTCCATAATGCATTATTGATTCGTTTTTTACCACATGGCGACCTTCTTTGGTGGTGGCACTCATGCCGCTCCTCCGCGAGGTAAAGTGCACAATGAGCACATTTGCTTCAAATGCACCACTATCGTTTTCAGAGTGGGGGGATCATAGTATTCAAATCCGTATTTAACCTTTGAAGGCAGAAGGATTATGCCGCAAAGTCTCCATTCCGAGCCGTTTCCTCGCCCCCTACTCCCCTGCCATAATAATGATCATTATCATCATTGTGTGAAAAGAGGATTATCATATCGTTGTATAAACCCAGGAACACCCCTACTATTATGAAGTAATTTCACTCTCATCAGTGGACCGGTACCGCGCGTGACAGCCGGCTGAGCCGTCACAGGTGACCATGGCAGCCTTCCATCATTCTCTGAGCGGCTCTGAAGGAGGACAGCGAGCCAGTGTCTCATCTGAAAGCACAAAATGGAAGAAAAAAAAGATTAGAAAGCTGAGGGCTTTGGTTAAAAAAATGACAAAAGGGAGTATTTGTAAATTACACTTTTTGGTAGAATGAGTCATTTTTTCTACGCCTCTCCGGTCATTATATTAACCCTCAGAATCCGAGGTAGTTTTCATGCAATATAGATTTCCTGCACATTTAGGAAAACCACACAACTATGATGTAAAAGAGCAAATTGGATTGATTTATTTTGCAAAAATTTGTAAATAATTGATCACATTTCTTCAACTTGTTTCTAAGAGTTACCAATTTGGGGGGAGAAATGGCAGCTGCACATGCAATATATATTACGCTACCCACATTTACACCTCGTTTATTTACAAACTCAATGAACTGTCTTTGGCAGCACGCCGTTTAATCCACATTCTACACGAAAAGTCACGTGACTGAGACCCCCTTCCTCATAAATCAGAAGAAAAACGGGTAAACGAGATAAACGACTCATCTGGGATGAACAACACATGTTGACATAAAAGATAAATGTTTTTAATTAAATATATCCCAATTTCAGTCAAAGTTTTGGGATACATTAGTTTTAGTCGTAGTTTTGGGCAGTTTTTACCCAATAGTTCCAGTGAAAAAAATGGAGATCTGAGCAGTGGGTTATACTGTATATTATTATGTATTCATAATATGGATGTCAACAAGGGATGCGAGCCAGAGCTCACATTTGCCACAATGATCCCATCATAACAGCCTCCCTGCACTGCAGCCCCATCCAACCTGTAAGCAGGCCACTCATTTTTTAAACTTATAAACTGTATCAACATTTGTATTGACTTAGATAAGATTATTTGGGTGACGTCGTAGGAGACAAACAGACGAATAAGTTCATGTTTGTTGTCAAGGCAACCGGATTGCTCTGAGCTAGCTACAATTTCTCATAAAAAGAAAGAAATTTAATCTAAATCTCTTACTCGCGAAATCTAATACAGTTACAGAGCATATTAGTTTGCAGAAGCTTTCACAGTGTGGCTCAGTGTCTGCATTGGTGCGTCCCCTTCCAAACGCGCACTGTCGTGGCTCACGATGTTGTAATAAACCATCATTTAATCCGGTCGGTTTGCATATGGAAGCAGTTTCCTTTCTGAAAGGGCCACTAGCACCATATTGTGGATGAACTCAGCACTACTGGACGGTGGTTAGAAGAAATAAAAACACCACGACGCCGATGACAAACACACAGCCGGCTGATTCACCGGACGTCTTCCTCTCGCTCCCAAACCCGACGGCGAGGTCGGTCCTGTGACTCGCAGAGACCCCAGCGTGTCCCGAACTCCGTGGCCGCAGTCCTACTACGCGTTGACTCCTTTAATTAAATCATACCTTGACTTACTGACAGCAAGGTCATTAAACTATTAAAGGGAGTCGCAGGCAAAACTTGTCGCGAGCAGATTGAGGCAGGAGAGGTTAATTAAATGGCCATTGCTTCTTCTTACCTCCAGCAAATCAGCATTCTTCTCTCCCAGACAGGCCAATGTGAGAGAACGTGGCCTCCCTCGCTCGCTCTCTCTCTCTCTCTCTCGCTCCCCCTCTTTCACGCTGCACAGGTTGTGTGAGCGCTCAGCTATTTCTTCCCGCGCTAGAGGGGCAAAAACGGTTTATCAAAAGAAAAAAGAAAAAAAAGAAAAGATCCTCTCACAATGCCGCGTGATACAAAACCGTGGCCTCTCCCCGCGAACCCTGCAACACGGTAAAACTGTGAGGAAAACAAAAGCAGCGAGATAGCACCTCGCTCGTCTGCCGCGGTTAAGGACGAGCCGTTGGAGAGTGCTTCAGAGATTATTCAAAAAGCGCCCAGATAGCGCGGACGCGTGTTCCTGTCCTTATTACTGTCACCGAGACTCGCCATAATGAAGCCTGTTTGGAATAATTAGCTCCCCCCCCCCTTCCTCCTTTATTCAGCAGCCTTCTGTATACTTGGACTGGTCGCTCGGTTTGTCCTTGTGTGAGTCACAAACGCGCTCTCGCAGTCAAAGAGCTTACTGCTTACACCTGGCGAAGGCGTTCGGCGCTGACAAGGTTTGGTCGACCTCTCTGGTGACTGGAAGGTTCCTGTCGCTGCGCTCGCCGCCAAACACGGAGATATTCCAATTCCTCTCTTCTTTCTTCCAAGCACGACCGGGAAGGAATGTGATGTCAACATTCTTCACCACCCTGCAGACCTCACCTTCCTGCCACGGTTAAGATTTCGCGGTAGATTGGTGGGGGGGGCGAGATGCAACCTGTATTGTGGCTACAATCACGGCCCACTATTTATAACCAACCTTTCCTCAGACAATACAGCGTTTTGAACTGTAGACGGCTCTGATGGGTTTTACAACAGCTGGAAGTGATACTTTACAGATCGGGAGAATTTTATCTTCACCATACCTGCTGCTGGAACACCACAACAACCTCCCAGATGTTTTGTCTGAGAGTTATCTTCAAACGTCTCAGTGATAATCTGCCCATGCATCACATTCTATGAATACCGCGGCTGGCATTTCATTCAGGGGTGTGTAAATTAGGTTTAGGAATGCTGCATAACATTTGAATGATCAGTTGGAACAAGTTAAAGATATGCAACCGCTCCCATTGGAAAGGTGTGAGCTAATATGATGTATGGAAAGGTAAGGGTAATATGCACAGTCATGTTAAATTGCAACGCTAGCTGTGACCACACCACGCTAAATGATGATCGGCCAATTGAATCCTGAGCAGCTCGATGTGTTATTCTCACATTTAACTCTCTGCGGCCTTGATTTAAAATAAAAGTCCTGCACCTCTTTGGCAACATCACAAGAAATAAAGAGAAGTGAAAAACACTTACATGTTACCAATAGAGTGACCTTATAGACATTCTAATTAAACTGTTAAACGAAGTGAAGTCGGTTCATTTGGTGACAAAGCTTCAGCACTTATACAAGGAAGCAAAAGGTAGAAGGATAGTTTTATGAATGAGGGTTTTAATGGGATTTATTCATGTTTTCAGTAAGTCTCCGAGGTAGAAGTCTGTCCCATCCGTTTATTGTACGGGTTTACCGTGGCAGAGTAAACCTATGATACCGCGTTTGGATCTTTTGCCTGCTTTGAGCTTTGTTCGGTCAAACGCTGAGGCAGCGATTCATCCAACAGTTGTACAAAGTGACAAAGTGGCACGAGAGACGGACCTGTGCGGGGGATACGAGCCAGGAAGTCAACGCTGTTGATTGACAACCGAGCAGCTTCATCGCTGTTATGATCGTACCACCTGTCCGATTTCATCGCCTGCTGTTACCGGCAGATTAAATGTTTCTTTCATTTTGACAAGTTGCATTAAAATGAGAATATCCGGCGATTAATTTGCAACAATCTTGCCGTCGTTTTTTGTTAACTTTATTCTGGTAAAAACGCACAAACACGAGAAAGCGCACAGGTAGTCTGAAGTAACACACCGGCTATTTCAATAAAAATGTCGGTGTTTACAGCTTGTTTACCTTATCTAAAGATGCTCAAGTTAAGTCGTTTTAACAATTTTTTCCAGTGGCCCTTGGAAGTTCTTATGATTAACCTGAACATGCAACCAGAAACTGCCCCGTATTTCAAATATTATATATGAATCCCACATTGACGGTTGAGTTGTTTATGGCCGTTGAATGACTTTCACACGCAAGTTTTTGTCTATGTCTTTGCAAACTACTACAGCAGAAATACATCAACTTACCTTCGAAACCGAAGTAGTTTGTCACGTTAATTCTCCTCCAACAAAAACTCTATTCTTATCTGTAAATTGATGATTACACTGATATAAAACATGACCAACGTTATGTTCAATTTTTGCAGAAAATGACCCAGAATCATCCACACTGTCTCTATTAAAACAAAAAGGGTTTTAGGACACTCGCAAAACTGTAGCTAAGTCATTTTCACAACACAACTAATGTCTGTGTAGCGTAGGTACATATTAAAAGTGTGAATCGGTAGATTTTAGACATTTAACAAGCCAGCGATGGTCAGCATCATCACGAGGTCGGTTAAGCAAAGCAACAGTAAAGACGGAAGCACTCGGTTCCAAGCGAGCTGTTCAGACTCCTGCCCGTGTAAATTAAAAAAGGACAAATGTGCTGGACTCAATTATGAGATACAGCACATTGTTGAAGGCGCAGCGTGGAAGTCCAGGGCGGCTGCTCTCGGGAAGATGAAGAAGGCATGGCCTCGCCCTTTGTGTCCCCGTGGCACGTGGCCGTGATCAATGCGCCGTTCGGTCGGCCGGAGGAGCCAATGGGCTCACAGCGCACGGGAGGCCCGGGTGGAGACCATCTCACTGCTGCTCAGTCGCAGTTTAAAATGAGACTCCTAAATGAACTTGTTCACTTGACCAACAGTTCAAACAACAACAGGTCGTGTGCATGAACTCCACGTCGCGTGTCCAGCGTTTCTCCCAATGAAAGGCAAACTTTGGGCCCTGCAGCAGGCTTTGTTTTGCTCCTTGTTCTCCTGGTTATCCGAACGCTTGCTGGGGCTTTGCTTGTTTCTCAGCTACGCCCTGACATTGAAGAGGAGGCCGTGACTGCACATCAGCCGGGTGCAGGTACCTTCCCTCCTGTCAGATTGCGACGGGGAAACAGCACGCCGGACACATTTTAATTACTCTCCGCACAGCTAATCGGAGAAAAATGCGCCGCGATAGAATGACACGTGGGCGATTTGCGCAGGCGTTCTTTACCAGGTGTGATCATCCTCACTGCAGTGGGGAGAGTCTGCAGCTCTCTATTCAGCGCGTGAAACAATGAGCATTGTTAATCTCGCAGTGGAACCGATAACGTACGTTCTCTTGTCTGAGGACAACGTCACACCAAATTCTGCTCAAATAAAATGTGGCAATTTAATCAAAGTGGCTTTGATTCACCGCAAAGGTGATTTACATTAATCTGCACCATGTATTGTAATTATTTTCATCATGGCGAATGCTGGAGGACATGCTGCAAATATTACAATGTTAGCATTTATTATGGGATATAGTATTTACTATGGGAAATATATAGCTGACAATGGCTGCTATAGAGGTAGAAAGTAAACTTTTTTTCCTACTAAAAAAGTTTACATACACACATATATATGCACTCCCCTGAAGTCATTACTGCCCCTATATATGCCAACAGGCATACAATTTACAAAATATACAATTTGCTTCACGGTATGATTTCCAAAGTCTTTTGTGATGAAAAGAGACGCAGCAGGAGGACGAAGTTAGCAACCGGCTTACAATTGGACAATTCCCTTTTTTAATTTAGTCGACACCAAAAAAGAGCTTAAAGGACAGTCAATTTGCTAAACTAGGTCTTTCTTCTGAATGATATGAAAAGGTTACTTTTGAAACACCACAATAAAACATCTTTTCTGTTCTTCAGTTTTTGTTCCATTTCTAGTAAAGTTACGGTTTAATCGGTTGTCTCCCAGTTTGTGGTCCCATGTGCACGCAGCCTTCAGGAAACCGGAAGCCCCACTCAAATGTTTGAACACTGTCAAACCTTGATCAGCTCCTCATTATCCTGAAACAAAAACGATTTGAACACGTATCTCGCCTGCCGACATATTTACAGAGAATAGAGTCGGGGAAGTTTAAGAGGCAGACAAAGCTCAGGGTTAAGCCGGCAGATAAAGTGTGAAGAGGCTGGCAGCTCACTGGGCTGCACCGCTACTAATTATACACAACAAAAACTGCCATCCGTCTCTTTCTCTGACAAGGGACAGTGGTCAGAGTCAGGGAGCCGGGTTAAATGTGAGGAAGCAAAAAAATTGCCTTCATTGCTGGCCTGGCATTGCCTATGCAGATCTTTATCAGGAAGGCCGGTGACTCTATTGTGGCTGTTTTGCTGGCCTTACAATGGCTTTCTGTGCACCTATGCTACCAGGAGATTGGCTGAAATTATATTCTTTTCATGCTTGGCCAGGCTGCAGCTTAGAAACAAGCTGCTTATGGAAGCCAGGGGAAGATTGCTGATAATAGAAGCTTCACATCCAGTTGACCTTTTTCCTACTCTCTTTTTCCTCCTTCGCAATAGCTCAATTGCAGTGACAGGAGAAAGGGAAACAATCTGTTCCGCGGAGGACACGCGACCTGCACCATCTAAGCCAAGGCCTTGGCACTGAATGGCAAGGTCTTGGCTCCTTGCAACCAATACTGTGATTTCCACGGGGCCTAAAAGGGATTGCCCAGGCTTACTCATTATTTATGTCCGTCTATTTCCCCATCTCCTTGCATCTCGTTGCCTACAGCTGGGATTCCAGACCATCAGGTCCCGGACCTGCCGTTGGCAGGGGCTGTTTGCCACGAGGCGGCGAAACATCCGAAGATCCTCAATTTCATCTGCCCTTTGTACGACACATAAATACAACTTTATAGGCGGGGTTACAAAAATATTGCAAAGCCCCGAGGAAAGCTGCACACAGAGTCAGAGGCCCATGTACCCGGACATTACTGGATACATGTAATAGTAACTGCCCCAAATAAGATTATTGGACAATAAATACACAGACGGCAGAAGTTATTGAATGAATGTAAAGCTCAATGGCAGCTTTATTCTGTCTTACATTACAAATGGAAGTTGTAGAAAATAAATGCTAAATTAAGGTTAAAATGTAAAATATGTTTTAAAAAGTTGTACTGCACGAGGTGTGCGCTTTATTGTCTGTCTCAGTCCTTTTGGTCCACTTTGCCAGGGTGATTGAGGCTTTTCCAGTCCGACAGCTGAGCAGACACGAGTTGTTTCTGAGAGAATTGGTCTCAAGTTCGTCGCGTTCTTTGTGTGCTGATGTGCGGGGCACTGATCACATTTAGGCCCATTAACTTTTGCGATTTTGACGCTGATGGATGATCTTAAGTTCCTGCACGCTGTGGAAAAGTAGTCCGTCAGTTGTTGAAGGCTTTGTTTATCATGCGTGGAAACGGCAGCATCATCTCAGAGCGCCTTGGTTTTTGCC